TCTGCAGTTCCTACTATCTCTGATTCAATGAGATTGCTTTTTTACAGAACCTTTCTTGACCTTGGATGACAAAGATTATGGGACTGAAAGGTGCCGTACAGGGTGGGTTTGTGCAGTGCATCCTACAGCAAGTACACACTGCTGCTAGTGAGTGGGAGGTTGGGAGGCACCGATGGATATGATGCCAATCAAGCAGCTGCTTTGTCCTGGATGGTATGTAGGCTCTAGAGAGAGTATTTTTGAAGTTGAACTCTAGTGAGGAGCGGGAATGAATACTTCCTCAGACAGCACCTTCCAAACCCACGACCACTTCCATCTAGAAGGCCAAGGGCAGCAGATACATGGGAACACCATCCCCTGCAAGTTCCCCTCCAAGCCACTCACCATCCTGACTGGGAAATATATCGCCATTCCTTTCCTGTTGCTGGGTCAAAATCCTGGAATTCCTTCCCTAATGGCATTGTGGGTCAACCCACAGCAGGTGGACTGCAGCGGTTCAAGAAGGCAGCTCACCACCACCTTCTCAAGGAGGTACATATAAATGAAGAGGTGCCCTTCAATAAAATTATGGCCTAACCTTTCACCCACTTACGTGCTGAGAATCTACCTACCTCTACTGTAAAAACATTCAAAAAACTCTGCATCTACCACCTTCTGGGGAAGAGAGAGAGATCCAAAAGATACTCAACCCTCTGAGAGAAAGTTTCACCTCAGCCCAGTCTTAAATGGATGATTCCTCATTTTTAAACAGTGACCCCTAGTTGTAGATCCTCTCCACATCCACCCTGTCAGGAACCCACGCCTCCTCCCCACCCCAACCCCAGCCAAATCTTATATATGTTTCAATCAAGTTGCTTTTTCCTTGGGAAGCTAAGGAAATTCGGCAGGTCCACAATGACTCTTACCCATTTTTATAGATGTACCATAGAAAGCATCCTATCTGGATGCATTGCAACTTGGTGTGGAAACTGCTGTTCCCAAAACCGCAAGAAATTACAGAGAGTTGTGAACGCAGCAGAGTCTATCACGAAAACCAGCCTTCCATCCATCGACTCCACCTATACTTCCCGCTGCCTTGGGAAAGCAACCAACATCATCAAAGACCCCTCCCACCCCAGTTATACCCTCTTCCATCAAGCAGAAGATACAGAAGTTCGTAAACAGGTACCAACAGATTCAGATTCAGCTCCAGCTCCTTCCCCGCTGTTATCAGACTTACGAACGGACCTCTCATATAATAAAGTTGATCTTTCTCTGCACCTTCTCTGTAGTTATAACTCTGTATTCTGCATTCTGTTCCATTACTCTGATGTACTCATGTAAGATATGATTTATCTGGATAGTGTGCAAAACAATACTTTTTTCCACTGTATCTTGGTACATGTGACAATAATAAATCAAATCAAGTCTTATTGCCCAGAACACCTGGGCATAATAAATGCTAACCAGCCAGAGAGGCCCCACATCCCATGAAAGAGTAGGATAAAAATACCGGTGTCACTCACTTCAGCCTGTTCTCCACTTGTATCTTTTTTGTCTTCTGCACTCACAACTTCAAACTCGGAGGATGAACCCTTCAAAGTGAAACAGATTGGCTTAGGAGTTTGTTGTCATCGCAAAAAAAAAGTCATGGACAGAAAATTATCCGCGCAGTCTGTGGTAAAGTCGGAAGTCGGAGATTTTGACTTTGTTTGTTTCTGTCACGTGTGTGTGTGTGTGTGTGTGTGTGTGTGTGTGTGTGTGTGTGTGTG